CCAAGGTCGCCACGTGAAAAGTAAAGGACCACCACGTGTTGTCACGTGAAACGAACCCGTGGTATAAGTCAGACTTGACTCTGGTCAAGTTTAGTTTGTGTCGACCTGTTGGAGTGAGAGGACGAGCGACTGAAAGTGAGAATGTCAACGTGAGAGTGATTGTTAAGAAAGGAGACCCTGCCGACGAAGTGTGAAGCCGAGATCGACCATGCCAGTGTGTGAGATGGCCAGAACCCCAACGTGAATCCATGGTAGCCAACTTTGGTCAGGGAATGCTTGAAGAAGACTGTTCGTTGAAGGCTGCGTGAGTTTGGGTACGAGAGCTGTTCACTAGGACACCGACAGGACATTCTATTTTTGTAAGTGTAAATACGTCAATAAATTCATGTCTCATAATCTCACATCGGTGTCGGCTTGTGCCAGTTGTGTAACGTGGAGCGTGTGAGAAGATCATCCACCACACACGCATGAACACTGCCTAGACAACGAGAAGAAATACACACCACTTATTACAGAGAGTATTAAGAAAAACTACATTACTATTTGCCAGATTTATTCTCATTATCTTTGTCTTTTTCTTTTGGATTTTCACAACTAGCTGTTGCGATCTGGCATCAAGTATATTTAATTTATCTTGCCTCTGATTCCGTGAATGGGACAGAAGAGAAATATCATCAGCGAAGTCCAGATCATCAAGCTGCTTTGTAGGGGTCTATCAATTGCTGTCCTCATAACCCAGTCTATTGCCAGTCAAAATAGGAAAGGTGACAAAAGACATCCCTGTCGCACACCTGTTTTTTGGTTTCAAATGTATCTGGGAGCCAAGATCATGTAATTAAGGGGGGAGGGGAGGGGGGGGGGGAAGAGTCCGGTTTCGTAAGGACTTAAACCCAAGATCTTCGGATCAACAGGTAAGCTCCTAGCTCCTACACCACGGCGGCTCCCAGGTGTTTTAATAACCCTTAGCATCTAAATTATTAGTAAGAATGTTTCTGTCTCATGTTAAATCTGCTGATCGCCATCAGACATAAGTATTTACTGCTGAAGTACATAAATAATTTAACGTCTTGGCACTGAAATAATTAAAGATCTCTCAACGGTGTTATTTCAAGTATTTATATTCAAGGTTATGTATTCGGTTCTTCCCAGAGTGGAAAAAGCATGGTTGAAAACAGGGTTGAGGCGATCTGTGTGTAGTAGTAGTACATTTTACCCCACTAGGACATCACACAAGCGATAAACATCCGATGACACAAAGTGCCACCATGCGGATGAGGATCACCCGTGGGGAGGTCCCGGAAACCGCGTTCAGCCATTAGGCCATATTTATGGCCGGGCTATATGCGGCCCCTGGCAAGAGTCAGTGTGGGGCTTCAAAAGAGAGAAACATTGCATCTCACAAGGGGATGACTGTTACACTAATCTGTGTGTAGTGTGCGTGGGAGCACTTGGCTGCGGTTTGAGTGTTGGGCTCGTGTGGTTTCTGTGTGTAGTGTGTGGGATCACTTGGCTGCGGCTTGTGTGTTGGGCTCGTGTGGTTTCTGTGTGTAGTGTGTAGGATCACTTGGCTGCAGTTTGAGTGTTGGGCTCGTGTGGTTTCTGTGTGTAGTGTGTGGGATCACTTGGCTGCAGTTTGAGTGTTGGGCTCGTGTGGTTTCTGTGTGTAGTGTGTGGGATCACTTGGCTGTGGTTTGAGTGTTGGGCTCGTGTGGTTTCTGTGTGTAGTGTGTGGGATCACTTGGCTGCGGTTTGTGTGTTGGGCTCGTGTGGTTTCTGTGTGTAGTGTGTGGGATCACTTGGCTGCAGTTTGAGTGTTGGGCTCGTGTGGTTTCTGTGTGTAGTGTGTGGGATCACTTGGCTGCAGTTTGAGTGTTGGGCTCGTGTGGTTTCTGTGTGTAGTGTGTGGGATCACTTGGCTGCGGTTTGTGTGTTGGGCTCGTGTGGTTTCTGTGTGTAGTGTGTGGGATCACTTGGCTGCAGTTTGAGTGTTGGGCTCGTGTGGTTTCTGTGTGTAGTGTGTGGGATCACTTGGCTGCGGTTTGAGTGTTGGGCTCGTGTGGTTTCTGTGTGTAGTGTGTGGGATCACTTGGCTGCGGTTTGAGTGTTGGGCTCGTGTGGTTTCTGTGTGTAGTGTGTGGGATCACTTGGCTGCGGCTTGTGTGTTGGGCTCGTGTGGTTTCTGTGTGTAGTGTGTGGGATCACTTGGCTGCGGCTTGTGTGTTGGGCTCGTGTGGTTTCTGTGTGTAGTGTTTGGAGATTACTTGGCTGCGGCTTGTGTGTTAGGCTCGTGTGGTTTCTGTGTGTAGTGTTTGGAGATTACTTGGCTGCGGCTTGTGTGTTAGGCTCGTGTGGTTTCTGTGTGTAGTGTTTGGAGATTACTTGGCTGCGGCTTGTGTGTTAGGCTCGTGTGGTTTCTGTGTGTAGTGTTTGGAGATTACCTGGCTGCGGCTTGTGTGTTAGGCTCGTGTGGTTTCTGTGTGTAGTGTTTGGAGATTACTTGGCTGCGGCTTGTGTGTTAGGCTCGTGTGGTTTCTGTGTGTAGTGTTTGGAGATTACTTGGCTGCGGCTTGTGTGTTAGGCTCGTGTGGTTTCTGTGTGTAGTGTTTGGAGATTACTTGGCTGCGGCTTGTGTGTTAGGCTCGTGTGGTTTCTGTGTGTAGTGTTTGGAGATTACTTGGCTGCGGCTTGTATGTTAGGCTCGTGTGGTTTCTCTAACACACTGAGCTTGTGTCGTTTTAATAATATCACGCTCTGTGCTCATCACGAGCATCACATGATAACCCCACGTTCCACAGGGAACATCAACAGCGACCCGACCTTGGATCACAGGTTACAGGAGAGCAACCTCATGATTCTGTAACTATTACTTTATTCTTTTTATCGTTTGTTTTTCTCCGTCTAATGCTGGTGGGCGTCACAGGCACGGCTAATTTTTGGTTTCTGAAATAGTATGCATTCGTTAGTTTCCTACATATTATTTAGTTTCAGAAAGTTATTTACTCCATCTGTCCATGTCGTCTTGGTCTTCCTCTGAGTCTTGATTAATTCATTATCATGTTGTATGTTCTTGCAGCCTGTGACGCTGGCTTCATTCTGATGAGGTGACCATACCATTTCAGTCTTTGCTTTTCAGTAACTCTTATTACGGTTTTTTTCTGACAATTGAATGATATCTTCGTGTCTTTGTGTCTCTTCTTGTTTTGTTGACTTCTTTTCTCAAACACTTTTTTTTTCCACAAATCATTTGTTTTCGCTCTTGTTCTTTCTGTGTCAGTGCCCCAATCTGGCATTTGTAACACAGGTGGTATCTAAACTGTGTATTTACTTCAGTATGTTATTTAACTACCACACTTTTATCCGCACAAATAGAAATAACCTGCTAACTAACTGTATCTAATATATGGCACTAAAACTATTGAATAGATTACCATCTGTCTGGAATTAGCCCAATAATGTGTGTTGGGACAGGAATGGTCGTGCGTCTACATCTTTTAATGCTGCCTTCCCCCAACTCTCTTTTATACCCTTGGTCTTCTAGATCGAAATTGTTCATTGTGCCAGATGCGGGCATTAATAATTAAATCTATGTTTTGCATACGTTGTCGTGAAAAAGTTCCTACAGAGAAAATTAAACACATAAAGTAAATCAGTTCGTACACAGAACATAATAAAAAAAGAAAACAAATAATTTTGTGTTTAGAACATAATATCATTATCTTTATTAAGAAGCGAATACATTTATTGAAAGATTATCGAGAGGGGCAGGTATAAAATAGATTAACATTCTGCATAGTTTGAGTTGATAAATGACCACAATTTATATATTACCATAAAGGCAACAAACAGTTGAAGGCCAGTATTGTAGGGGCAGACCAGTGTTGCCACTTTGGATCTTTTATATCCAAATTTAGATCTTTTTAGATCTTTTTTGACACTGTTTTGGATATTTTTTGTCAAAGAAAAGTGGCAACACTGGAGCAGACAGAAGGCGTCTTGAGCGGATATCCTGGTTGAGCTGACACGTTTCAGCATTGCCTTGAGTAATTGCTTTGCTGAAGTGGTAAGCACATATTGAGGGTCGCTGCATGGTGTTACATGGAAGAAGAAGAATAAGCAGAACAGACTAAGAAACTAATTAAAGGAAGGCGGAATAGGAGTAGGAATAGCAGGAGGACGCAGAGAAGAAAAGAAGAAGAAGAAGAAGAAGAAGAAGAAGAAGAAGAAGAAGAAGAAGAAGAAGAAGAAGAAGAAGAAGAAGAAGAAGAAGAAGAAGAAGAAGAAGAAGAAGAAGAAGAAGAAGAAGAAGAAAGAAAGAAAGAAAGAACGAAGAAAAGAAAAAAAAAGAAAAAAAAGATAGAGGGAAGGAAGGAAAGAAAGAAGGAAAGAAAGAAAGAAAGAAAGAAAGAAAGAAAGAAAGAAAGAAAGAAAGAAAGAAAGAAAGAAAGAAAGAAAGAAAGAAAGAAAGAAAGAAAGAAAGAAAGAAAGAAAGAATTATAAGAAGGAGGCGACGACGACAACGAAGAAGAAGAAGAAGAAGAAGAAGAAGAAGAAGAAGAAGAAGAAGAAGAAGAAGAAGAAGAAGAAGAAGAAGAAGAAGAAGAAGAAGAAGAAGAAGAAGAAGAAGAAGAAGAAGAAGAAAATGCAAAAAAAAAAAAAAAAAAAAGAAGAAAAAGAAGAAACAAAAACAAGGAAGAAGAAAAGTTACAAATAAAGAAGATAAGGAAGATTTGAAGCAAGTGAAGACAACGAAGAAAATAAATAAAGGACAAGGAAGTGCTATACACTCCTAGTAAGAAGACGATGTTAATGATGCTAGTATTGACGATAAAGAAGAAGAATTCAAATGGTGTGATCTCAAAGAAGGCCCTACGGCACGTATTCGTGATCATAGACCTCTACAAACTGCTCTGGCATCTATGCAAGAATCGTTTAGTGTCCTTCACAATTATATACAGCTTCTGTTCCACACGGGTCTACTGACTGGCTGCCGAATGGATTATTTAAATGTTAACAGCACGCGAATTTTCAATGGCTTCTTCTTCGGAGAAGTCTCGGATGTTCTCTGGTCGGATGGGTTCTGGTCGTTGTGGTCTTGCATAGCTGACAGCGTCGTGGACGTCAACGAAGAAGTGGCTCTCTGGAATCTTGTCGAAAACTCCCGCCAATCGCATGGTCTTTCTGATGGCGGCGGAGCAGCCAGCCAGGTAGAGTTTGATGCTGACGTGGGTGTATTCGGAGAAGATGTGGGTGAGCACGTTAGTTCCTGAAGCATCAATGTAGTTGATGGGTGAGCAGTCGACAACGATGTGGTGAATCTTACGCATCTGTCGGAGTTTCTCATCCGTAAACATTTCATCCCCATCGTCTGGATCTTCTTCATAATCGTCAAAGTTGATAGAGTAGAGGGAGACAACGGACTCGCTGCTCTTGAGGCTCTTCAGGCTACCACCAACCGGTCGTTTGCTGAGGTTGAATGTGTTGCCAGCTGCGGTCGTGTGAGTTTTCCCGCCATCAAACATCTGCTGATTACCTCCCTGCACAATGAACACGGGCTTTTCCATACTTGGAAGTCGAACTCGTTTCCCTTCCAGCTTGTCTGTAGAAGGATCGGTGAGGTCGTTGAGCGTGTCAGCCTCGCTATCAGAGCTTGTGAGGTCTGGGGTGGATATTGAGGTCTGTTTTACGTCTTGATTCACTGACTTGAGAATAGAGAGCTTCGGCAGTGCTGTTAGATCAGGAGTTGAAACATGGTTTCCTGTCTTTTCCATCTGACCGGTCATGATAAAATTGTTGTCTACCTGAGGAGGGAGTCCTTGCGCCATCCTTTCAGCGTTCATTTTCTCTAATCTTTTTTCTCTTTTCTGCAAGCCCTTTAACAACTTCCTGGGGTTGACAGTTTTCCGGTAGAGTGAAGTACGGAAGATTTCAGCATTGGCGTAAAACAAGTTACATTTAAATCGGAAAATTTTGATCCCAGGAATCTCCGACGAGTCCTTGTAATATTTATGCTCGACAAGCGTCGTGTCTTTCTTGGTGTACCCGAGCTTGTAACCTTTGGCGAACTGGGTCTGAAGCACCACGCAGACTAGAGATATGCCGACGCCAATTCCCAGCCCGACGTCGATGTCAAGAAAGACGGTAGAGAAGAAAGTGAAACACCAGATGACGAAATCAAACTTGTTAATTTGGAAGTACCTCCACAGGTCTTTGATCTGAATGAAAAGGTTCTTCAGTGCAATGAAAATAATGGCCGCCAGAACAGCTCTAGGCAGCTCTCTGAACAGAGCGGCTACAATCATTATTACCAACAGCATGAGGGCGCAGCTGAAGATACCATTGATGGTGGTTTTAGCGTTCATGGTGCTAGCAACCATGGATCTGGGTGGAGCAACACAGGACGGGATGCATTTCAGGAAAGAGCTGCCTAAGTTACACAGACCGTATGAAATCATCTCCTGGCTGTCATCAACTTCATAGTTGTGCTTCTTGGCGCAAATTTTGGCGATGGCTATCGTGTAGGCGAAGGTTAAAATTGCGATGACAAATGAATCAACGATGTAGTTGGAAGCGTACTTGAGACCTTCTACTGGGACCTTTGGAACTGGTATCCCTAAAGGAATCTCACCAACCACGGCAATTCCAAACTTGTCCCGGAAGTCCCCGAAATACGACGCCACTGTGCCAAAAATGACAATGAACAGCTCGATAGGAATTGGCGCAAAAAGCTTCTGCTTATACCTCTCATTGATGGCTTCCTTGACGAACCAGATCAAGGCAATGCAGATTAGAGCAATAATTATGGCAGCAAAATTTGCTTTCATGATGTTTTCAAAGATGTCTTTGTAGGTAAAGATAATTTTAAACATACCCGGGTACCGGTTGACTTTGATGCCAAGCATGGCAGGCAGCTGGGTGGTGCCAATGTGGACTGCTGCAGCTGAGGTATAGGCCGCGAAAAAAGAGTCAGACAGATAGGAAGTGATAAATCCCAGCTTCAGGAAGCCTAAGATGACCAGCATGATGCCAATGATGAGTGTTAGGCCCATGGCTATCTCCTCCTTGAAGTCGAGGTACTCTGGGACGTCGTCGAGGCTGGTTCCATTGGTGGCTTTTGCAAGGATCCACGGTTTGTCTGCAACCCAAGCTTTGCTCTCTCTGTCTACTGTTGTAGCCGTTAGCAGGCAAATCACGGCACTGGTTCCCATGGAAACATGAGCGGATGTGCCAAAGAAAACGTAGATCAAAGATGGCCAAAGGGACGAGAACAACCCGTTTTCAATCTTTGCAGAAGCCAGTTGTCCAAAAGCCAACGCTTGTGGGATGTGAATAGTTCCAACAGACAGCCCAGCGAAGATGTCAATAACAGCGAACTCTTTCAGCTTGTAGTAGCGGAGAAACTTGATCAGGGGGATGTATCCGGTGATCAGTCTCCAGATTCTTTTCTTGGAGCAGAAGCAGCCTTGCTTCAGTTTCTGTATCATGGTCGGCTCATCAAGCTCATCCTTACTTTTCAGGTGTAGCTCATCAAAGGCTGCTTGCGTGAAAGGCGCCCTAGAGATAAGTACCTGAGATACGCAGACAAATTGTTATGAAATGTATTTACGCTGTATTGTCAGTTATAGCATTTGGTAATAGAATCCCTTTTCTTCTCTTTCTTCTTACTCCTATTCTTAATCACCATTATCAACCTTACCATCGTCATTGTCAATCATCATCATCACTACAACTACCACCATCTTCATCAACATTATTATCATTCTCCTCCTCCTCATCATCAACATCGTAATTACCACCACCACCTACACCACCACCATCAATAGCATCAGAATCAACCCCCCCCCCCCCATATCTTTTTCCCTTCGTTTTTGTCCATCGTGTGCTCGCCATATTGGAGACATTGTTGACCATGACTCTGTAACTCTCATGGTTATTGCATATTTTAACAAAGCTGACGTTTCGATGTTATCACTTGTTGCCTAACTGTGTAATAGTCGGCGTCTGTGGCTTCAACGTTGCGAACGCGCTTCGTAATGTCGGGGTGCCTGGTTCCATCCTAGTTGCATACAGCTTGTATTGCGTTGGTTTCGTCAGAGGTACCGGGAACTGACCGTGCAGGGCAAAGGCAAACTACTAAACATAACATTTACTTTGAAAACAATAGCTAAAAATGCTGGGGTTGGTTCTGCAACGTCCTGTGAATGATACACAGGTAAATTTAACTTTTGACTTGGCAATCTTTTTCACGCATACAGATACGTCTTGCTCTTTCTCTCTTGCAATTACCTGACCCCATACATTTCATTTATCTTTTCTTGTTGGCTAGATCAGAGTTCTAATGAAACCACTCATCCCTTTACATGCTATTCTTAATATTTAAGATCATCATCGACATGTGCCGTATCGTAAAGCGTAGGTTGGGATGTTTCGACATTTCACACGATCGCCAGAATCACGGATCAGTTCAATGTTTTTTGGCCAGGATATGCTGTCTTGTTAGTTACGACTAAGGTCTCGACTCTATTTCATCTTATCATATGTCTATTTAAGATACACATGTCTAAAAAAAAAAAAAAAGAAGAAAAATATGCCAGAGAAGAAGAAGATAGCTAAATGGCCTTACTTGCGGTCCCTGTCCAGGCAAGGAGAGCACGTGGCTGGGGTTATGACCGTTCATGTCAGCCTTGACCTGTTTGGTGTCTTGAACACCCATACTGGTTGTTGCCAAGAGAGATCAGTATTTGCGATCCAGCGCCGGGAGTGGTCGAAAAGAGTCTGTGGGAATAAACAAAAACTCAAGTTAGTTACTGTATGGAAACACAAGTTAGTTACCGTATGGAATCATGGTTGACGCTCGCTTTGAACAATATCTACTTCCTCGTGGTCACTAGCTGTAAGCTCTGGAGGAAATTTATGCTTGTTCGTCCCCTTCTGAATTTTCGTCTGGTTCCAGAGTTCGAGTTTTGCGTGCACATTAGTTTTACACATCTAGCTTTCTTGTGAATACAGATTGATGTCTCCTCGCCTCTCAGATATGTGCACCCAAAGGAAGTTCGACAGAAACAGCCCTAATTAGTCTCCGCCAGACAGGATCAGCGGGCAGTTTACAGTTTGCTAGCAGAACAACATAGAATGTAGTTTTATCATATCACAGTTTTCAAATGTTGTATCGAATATTTGTTGGCTGTGAGAAAAGCTCTACGACAACGCGTTCCTCATTAGTCCTGCACAACTACAACATTGCAAATAAATAAATGAATATGACATCAGCGGCATGCCAACTACAACACCTGCAAGAGACTGTCAGTATCCTCAACTACAACACCTGCAAGGGACTGTCAGTATCCTCAACTAACACCTGCAAGGGACTGCCAGTATCCTACAACTAACACCTACAAGAGACTGCCAGTATCCTACAACTAACACCTGCAAAGGACTGTCAGTATCCTACAACTAACACCTACAAGGGACTGTCAGTATCCTACAACTAACACCTACAAGGGACTATCAGTATCCTACAACTAACACCTACAAGGGACTGTCAGTATCCTACAACTAACACCTACAAGGGACTGTCAGTATACTTCAACTAACACCTACAAGGGACTGTCAGTATACTGCAACTAACAACTGCTTCCTGTGAGAAGAGGAGTGTGGAAGTAAAAGCGCAAACTAGGAAGGAAGAGGGAAAAGAGTAGAAGAAGAGAGAAGGAAACGAAGGAGGAAGAGTAGGAGGGGGAGGAGGAGAAGAAGCAGAAGTAAAAGAGGATGAAGAAGAAATATATTTTCTCTAATAGAAGGTAACATAAAAACGACCATAAAGTTGTAGTTTATTACAAATACTCCGATTGAAGCACACACACGCACTGAAATCTGCACGCACGCGAGCGCGCGCGCATAGACACACACGCACACATACTGTAAGTTGAGAAGATAAAGAAAGAAAAGTACTGATAATGTAAAAGTGAATGATCCATATTTCAATGCTTCATTTTTACGAGTTACTTAATCATCTTTGAGTTGATCTGTGTTGATGTGTGTCTGTGAGTTGACCTATGTTATGTTAACGTGTGTATCCGTGAGTTGACCTATGCTGATGTTAACGTGTGTATCCGTGAGTTGACCTATGTTGATGTTGAAGTGTGAATCTGTGAGTTGACCTACGCTGATGTTTTCTTGTGTATTTATGAGTTGACCTTTGCTGATGTCGACGTGTGTATCTGTGAGTCGACATATGTTGATGTTGACGTGTGTATCCAAGAGTTGACCTATGTTGATGTTGACGTGTGTATCTGTGAGTTGACCTTGCTGGTGTTAACGTGTGTGTGAGTTGACCTATGTTGATGTTGACGTGTGTATCAGTCGATCAGAGCGAAAAAGTGTAAGCGTCAATTAGCAAACATGTGTCGCTAACTAAAAAACAAAACACAATCACACAATTATATTGTATAGCTAGAGTTTTGCTAGGTATAGAGGAGCATTGGCCCAGTTGCTAGGTTACTTCGCTGTACTACACACAGACAGACAAACAGACAGACAGTCAGAGAGACCAACTGAAAGACGGACAGACAGAGAGACAGGCGAACTGACAAATCGCAGGAAAGAAAGAAAGACAGAAGATAGATAAATAATAAATAGGTAGATAAATATACTAGCATAAACACAAACATACATGCATGCGTAAATACATACAACATACAAACATGTGTACGTACGTACATACATACATACATACATACATACAAACATACATATATATTATATATATATATATATATATATATATATATATATTATATACATACATACATATATAAAATAAATAAATAAATATATATATATATATATATATATATATATATATATATATATATATATATATATATATATATTATATATATATATAGATAGATAGATAGATAGATAGATAGATAGATAGACAGACAGACAGACAGACAGACAGACAGACAGACAGACAGACAGACAGACAGACAGACAGACAGACAGACAGACAGACAGACAGACAGACAGACAGACAACATACGTACATACATACATACGTACATAAATACACACATACACACATACATACACACATACATACACACATACACACACAGACCGACAGACAGACAGACAGACAGACAGACAGACAGACAGACAGACAACATACATACATACATACGTACATAAATACACACATACACACATACATACACATACATACACACATACACACACATACACACACAGACCGACATACATACATACATACATACATACATACATACATACATACATACATACATACATACATACATACATACATACATACATACATACATACATACATACATACATACAAAATCAAGTAAAGTACTTTTCCGCCAGGTTTCGTGCCTGGCGTATGTCACGTGATGCTTATCATAGTCAAGGCCACGCTGCTCGCTTTCCCCTTCTGGTATCCACTCTAGGCTGGGTGGACCTATGAGTTCTAGTACCCACTCTAGGCTGGGTGGACCTATGAGTTCTGGTACCAACTCTAGGCTGGGTGGACCCATGAGTTCTGGTACCCACGCTAGGCTGGGTGGACCCATGAGTTCTGGTACCCACGCTAGGCTTGGTGGACCCATGAGTTCTGGTACCCACGCTAGGCTGGGTGGTCCCATGAGTTCTGGTACCCACGCTAGGCTGGGTGGACCCATGAGTTCTGGTACCCACACTAGGCTGGGTGGACCCATGAGTTCTGGTACCCACGCTAGGCTGGGTGGACCCATGAGTTCTGGTACCCACTCTAGGCTGGGTGGACCTATGAGCTCTGGTACCCACTCTAGGCTGGGTGGACCTATGAGCTCTGGTACCCACTCTAGGCTGGGTGGACCCATGAGTTCTGGTACCCACGCTAGGCTGGGTGGACCCATGAGTTCTTGTACCCACTCTTGGCTGGGTGGACCCATGAGTTCTGGTACCCACTCTAGGCTGGGTGGACCTATGAGCTCTGGTACCCACTCTAGGCTTGGTGGACCCATGAGTTCTGGTACCCACTCTAGGCTGGGTGGACCCATGAGTTCTGGTACCCACTCTAGGCTGGGTGGACCCATGAGTTCTGGTACCCACTCTAGGCTGGGTGGACCCATGAGTTCTGGTACCCACTCTAGGCTGGGTGGACCCATGAGTTCTGGTACCCACTCTAGGCTGGGTGGACCCATGAGTTCTGGTAGCCACCAGGCTGGGTGGACCTATGAGTTCTGGTACCCATGCTAGGCTGGGTGGACCTATGAGTTCTGGTACCCACTCTAGGCTGGGTGGACCTATGAGTTCTGGTACCCACTCTAGGTTGGGTAGACCCATGAGTTCTGGGTCAAGAATGAAACTCTAGTGTAATGAGGATTTGAACCCACGGTATTCTCACCATCATGTACGTTCACACAAACGCCTACACACATATCTACATACCTAAACTGTGGAGACATGGGGAACAGACAAGCTGCTCCACCATAAAACGATCACTGCATGCAGACATGCCCAACAGGCATG